TTTCCCACGTAGCCATCGGTGTCGTCTATGAGAGCGCAGCCGGCTCGCCCCAGTTTGCACCAGAACCTCTTCCCACCGCCTTGGGTGTCCCCGGTTGGGCACAGGACTGTGACGGAGCCGTGGAGCTCCCCCCGGACGAGCTTGATCGGCCCCAAGGCAGCGGCGTCTGTAGGGAGAGAGCGCAGCAGGCAGCAGAGAGTTTCCTTTCACATTTACGAACAGCTGATTTGGTCAAATCAGGGTACTTTTATACCCCACCATTAAAATATCTGGTTAATAGCAGAGGACAGAAAAAGTCGATACGCCTGCTGTGTGCAGGGAGCAGGCGGCGTGAGCTGATGCTCCGGCGTACGGCCCCAAACGGCTCCCTGCGAGTCGGGCTGCCGGCGCAGCGGACCCTCCCCTCTCCCCGGCCAGCGTCCTACCTGCCAAAACCGTCAAGTTCAGGCTGACGTACAGGTCCCTGTTGGTGGTGCCGATGCCGCATCGGTAGGTCCCCGCGTCGCTCCGCTTCAGCTCTGTCATCGTCACCGTGAAGGTGCCGTTCTGGGGGATGTCCTCGAGAGACACTCGCCCCGCGTGGCTTTTCGAGGTGTAGCCGGTTGTAGAAACGATGGTGTAGCAAACTCCGCTTCCTGCTATTTTGCACCAGTATTTTCGGTCGTGTTTGTTGGCTGGCGTGATTGAGTAGAAGCACTGATGGGTGACCGATCCTCCAACCTCGCCTCTCAAAAACCTGGATCCATACAAGGTGCTTGAAACTGGCTCTTTTGGGGAAAGAAAGAAGCAGAAGTCGTTGGTTACTCAGAGACAGCCAGATCCTTGCCTGGCGACAGCCAGCAGAGCTCCTTCGAGTCAGGGGCATGGTTATGAGTGGCACCAGTGGGACATCTGGCTCAGGAAGGTCAGAGTTTATTTTGGACGCGGTGTGTTACCTTCCTTGAGTGCCACGTTACCCGCTCGAGGATAACTGGTGGCGCGGAGCCACTACCCCATGCCATGGCACAAATGGGGAAACCCTCGATGCCCCTTAGGGGATGCCTTAAAGCCCCCCTCAGCCCTGACAGTCCTGCCTGGAGTTAAATGTCAAGGGCAGCATTTAACAGCAAACATCTATGAATAACCTTTGGCGTTTGCAAACTGCCTGATCTGGCAACCACCTTCTCCCTGCAGCTGCATGGCACAGGCACCAGCGGCCGGCTGGCGCGCCGAGCCACGGAGGGCTG